AACCCAGCAAAAGAAAAATATTTAGAACTTACTGGGCTTAGCTGCACGATGAAGGCTGAATAATACATCTTGGAATTATGATAAGAAACATATTAGAAGGATAACCATGTTATTCAGTACAGACTTGTCCTTAGAATTTAGGACGTTAATATGAACAAAGAACAAGATTAATTTTGTATTTAGGGCAAGTCTAATTGCAAAAAAGTTAATCCTATACAACAAGAAGCTAGCTATACATATCAAAATAATAGACTGATATATAAGGCCAAAGTGATATAGCTACTCTGGAAAATAATACAATTTTAAATATGGGGGGGAAAGATACCCAAAAGTCCATATCTGGTCTTGTTTCTTGACAATGCAGGGTTAAATATACAATTACAAATAATAATTATCATTAGTGAAAAATATTCCATTATTATGGTAAGTCTATTCAATCTATATTCTATTTTGCTCATATACACATACTTCATCACTCCATTTTTTTTCTGTTTTATAGTTCAATTTTTTCATCTTCATCCTGTAATATTATCATCACCACACATTTATCATAATCATACATTTACAGTACTCAGTGGTTTACAAATTTACTAGTAACACAGTAATTAAAAATAGCAGTTGCTTGGATCCCTATTCCTTAAGTGTTGCTATCCTGCAATTTCCACTAATTCTTTTAATTATTTTTGTAAATATTATCACATTCTACCAAACTAAGGCCAGATCTACACTGTGTTATACCAGTATAAGGGCGAAGGTAGGAGTAGGGAGGTTACATTACTGTATACAGTTCCAGTGATCACAATTCAAAATTGATGTTGATAAATTGGAAAGCCACAAGAATGATTAAAGGATTTTAAAAAATGCTTTGCTATGAAAGAGAAGAGGAGCATAATCCATTTAGATTAAAGAAAAAGTTGGAGGGTGACTTGATCAGATATATAATCATCTTAGGGGGAAGAAATTTTATAATGAAGGGTTCCTCAGTCTATCAGACAAAGGTATTGTAGGATCGGATGTCTGGAAGTGGAATCTAGATAAATTCAGACTAGAAATAATTTGTCCTCTCTTAAAAATATGCAAGTTAACAACTTGAACAATTTACCAAGGGTAATAGTGGATTTTCCATAACTGTTAAGTCAAGATTGGATGCTTTTCTAATGGTATCCTTTAGTTCAAACTAGGGATGTAAGCAACTAGTCGGCCACCCTATTAGTTGGGTCAACTGGTTGCTTCTCCCCCATTTGCTGCTTCTGGCTTAAAAGCTGGTTCCCCCCAGCACCATCTCCGTAGGGGGAGGGGGGAGGTGAGGAAGGGGGGAGGGAGGAAGAGGCGCAGTGGGAAACATCATGAAAAGAAACTGAAGCAGTCCCCACTCATGCCAGTCTGACTGCTGTGTGTCTCTGCCTTTTACATGTAAGCAATGCACTTCAAAGGCAGAGGCAGTGCAGCGGGAACCCGGGGCAAGCGGGAACTGAAGCAGGTCCCACTCGCCCCAGGTTCCCCACTGTGCCTCTGTCTTTTAAGTGTAGTAAGAGCTGCGGGCGACGCTTACTACACTTAAAAGGTAGAGGTGTAGTCAGGATAGCGAGAGCTCTGCCCCACACTTTATTGAGTAATCTATGAAAATTCCATCGATTACTGATTAGCTGATTAATTGATATTTAACATCCCTAGTTCAAATAGTAATTAATTTAGGAAAGTCATATATAAGCATGTGTTTTGCAGGTCAGGCTATATGATGAAAATGGCCTTAATATGTAGGAACCTATGAACATAGAGGGCTTTTGAACACATGGGAAAGTGTTGTTCTGCTGCAAGATGGTGGGGAAAAACAGACACGGATGATAGGAGTCCTTGCAGAAGGTCTGGAGATGTACTCTACAAAGGCTTCATCTGCAGCATTGCTGAAGCAGAGATATGCTGTCTGGGAGACTTGACAGGCCCAAGATTTCATGGAGTCATCAGAAACTTTTTCCCCATCCAAGAACAACAGAGCATACATGGCAATAATCTGTGAATGGGTTCTCCGAAGACGGAGAAAGAAGATTTATTTTCTCAAACATTTATTTTCTGAATCCACGCATCAAACCTCGGTGCCAACTCTGCCCACATATCTACACCACCGACACCATCACAGGAGCTAACCAGATCAGCCACACCATCACTAGTTCATTCACCTGCACATCTACCAATGTAATATACGCCATCATATGCCAGCAATGCCCCTCTGCTATGTACATTGGCCAAACTGGACAGTCCCTACGTAAAAGAATAGACGGACACAAATCAGATATTAGGAATAGAAATATAAAAAAACCTGTAGGAGAACACTTCAATCTCCCTGGACACAGAGTAGCAGATTTAAAAGTAGCCATCCTGCAGCAAAAAAACTTCAAGACCAGACTTCAAAGAGAAACTGCTGAGCTACAGTTCATCTGCAAATTTGACACCATCATTTTAGGATTAAACAAAGACTGTGAATGGCTAGCCAACTACAAAAGCAGTTTCTCCTCTCTTGGTATTCACACCTTTAAATCAGCTGCTAGAAGTGGGCCTCACCCTCCCTGACTGAATTAACCTCGTTATCTCTAGCCTTATTCTGGCCTGCATATTTATACCTGCCTCTGGAAATTTCCACTACATGAATCTGATGAAGTGGGTCTTTGCCCATGAAAGCTTATGCTCCAATACATGTGTTAGTCTATAAGGTGCCACAGGACTCCTTGTCGCTTTTGCAGATCCAAACTAACACAGCTACCCCTCTGATACTTTTCTGAGACAGTTCAGTGACACAGGTGTCCTGGAATGAAAAATTACTCTCTCATTTATCAAAATAAATGAATTGGAATATAAATATTCTACTTGTATTTCAGTGTATAGTATTCATAGCAGTATAAACAAATAATTGTCTGTATGAAATTTTAGTTTATACTGACTTCGCTAGTTCTCTTTACATAGCCTGGTGTAAAACTAAGCAAATATTTGCCTAGTAGATGAGTTGATGTACCCCCAGAAGACCTCTCCATACCCCCAGAAGTACACATACACCTGGTTGAGAATCACTGCTCTAAAAGGACTATCCTCTCATAAGAATATGATTGGATAAAGAGAGAAGCATTTAGTGAAGAACTGTGAAGGATGAACTAGACAGAAGGAAGGGCTGGGCTATGGTTCATACCACAAAATAGAAAAGGAGCAGTTAGAATAAAACTAACATTTTCTAAGTTAGGCTTAATTATCTAATGTTGAACAGGTTGGACCTCCTTCGTCTTGCATCATTTGGACCTGACCAGTTCCAGATGAGGGATTTTGCTGGACCAGGGAAGGTCATTTCTGGGACCATCCCTGTCAGTGCCCCCTCAAGCCAGACTCTCTACCAGCCTCTCAGCTGGCTTTCCTCTGCTGCTGGCTCCTCTGTGTGCAGGGTTCTGGCTCCACCATGGCAGCCCTGCCGCTGGCATGTACAGCCCCACTGCAGGGCTCCATGCCTGTGGGGTATAGGGTCCAGTTGCACTGCTGGGTGACAAGCCCCGCTTGAGCTTCAGCCTTGCTGGGCAGGGCTGCCAGGCTTTTTGCTGAACTGCTGGGCAGTCTACTCCCAGGTTCTGGGTCCTGCTGCCAGGCAGCCCCAAGGTCAGGCTCCTGGCCCCATGATGCAGCCATGCTGCCTCCCAGTCCCACCAGGCAGCTGGGTCACTTGGCAGTATCGGGCCTGCTGCCTCCTGGTCTCTCTGGGCAGTTTCGCTGCTGGGCTCCAGCCCTGCTGCCTCCCACCCCCCTAGCCTCTGTAGTGTTGGCACCAGGCAGTGACCCTATGGCGGGGCTTCCGGTTTTGCTGTCACAGGGCAGCCCCGCTACTGTGCATTAGCCCTGCAGCAGGCCTCCCAGCCAATAGCCCTCCACCGAGACTCTCTCCTCTCCTGGGTGGTCCTGCTGGACTAGGGATGTTGCTGGACCAGCAAGGCCCGGTTAAGAGAAGCTCAACCAGTAATAGTTCAGCCTTGCAAAAGAGTGAAGAAATTTTGCCAGTAAAAACATAAAATGTACTTGCCTCCCCTTTATAGTCATGATTGATGATAATGACAAACAATATATTTTTTCGCCTATTTAAAAGTAAATTGCCCTGAGCAAGAAGAAATTTGCTGTACTAATCCAATATTGATTTATTACCCTTTACAAAATGAACAGGTCAAAAAAGTCTAATTTGTTTTTAGCACAAGCTTTTATATCTAAATTCTGCAATGTGCATGTCACAGTTTATCAAACTGCTATCAAAGTTTAGCTGCATATTAATAAACCTGCATTTCAGCACAATCCCCACACATTTAGTAATAATTTGAAACACTTTTTCATGGTTCCATTTTGTTTTTTGCATTTTTTTGTTTTTCCTATTCCAGATAGTTATCTTTATTGAAGATATTTGAGCTCACTACTTTCAGTGCACTGGCTTCTTATCCTTATGAATAATCATGGAGAATTAAACATTTCTCAGTACAAACAAGACATAATTGAATCAGGATTAAGGAACTATGTTACACGAAAAGTGATTTGGAATGAATTTGTATTCACATAGAATTACAAGGAAAACTGTATTTTCAAAATATTTTCAACTTCACTTATTCAAGATAAATTGTTTGCTTGATATCAGTGTAAGAGTCCACATATTTAAGCCAGCCTGGACTACCTGAATACAACTGCCAAAATATTTAAGATAAATAGTGAAATTATGCTTTGCCCTCTCCCCCCCCGTCTCGGTAAACAGCTGAAAAGGTAAAGACTATTGTAGTTTTGCGAAGTAAAAAAATTTGCTTGATATATATGATTACTTTTTTAGCAAGTATATTTTATTTTCTGCAAATGAAATCTCACTGAAGCCATTGTAAATCTGCATTTTGTTCAATTTCATCACATCTAAATAGAACAGTATGCACACTTGAATTCAGAAGAAAAAGTATTTAAGCTTAAAGACATAAGAGAAATTTGGGGAGGAAGATGCTTACCTAACATATAGGGACCTCTTCTGGCTGGTCCGCAGAGATCCTGATCCTGAGCTAATGCTACTGTTCATCATCTGCTCCCGTAAGTCATGTATTTTAGCTTCAAAACGACTATATTCTGTAACAAGGGGAAAAATACAGAATCATTTATTTCCCCCAAATATCAGCAATCATTTGGTAAGACGTTGCAAGCTTGATAAAACAAAGATTCATTTTTGTTAAATTTTAAAATATAATTAAACTTCTGAATAAGTAACTAAAATGATACATTAACTACTAGCAGTTTTGTGCTATGAAACAGTTACACATTAGTTAAAATATGAAAAGAAATAACGAAAAACATCTTTTCAATAAGAAACATATTTATGCTTTTCTAATGTCTTGTGATTTCATCAGTTTAATAGAATTTGGATTCTAGAATTCAGAAAGAAAGCAAATGCAAATAGTTTACATAAAGATTACGTGGGTGATTTAAATGCATACTAGCTCACTGTAATGTATGTGGAATTTTTGCCATAAAGACAACTGTTTTTACTTAAAATAATTAACTATGTTAAATACAAAAATCACTTTTGCATTAACCAAAAAGAAATGTTTAATTAATCCAGATAAAGTTTATCCCATAAGCAAAAGAAAACCTCAAATTGTATTATCAAGACTACTGAATAAAAGATTCTCTTTTAACCTAATAAAAGATCTGTGTTATAAGTATGAAATCACTATTTTAAAAAGGTAGGTCTGAAATGAAAACAACACTGGATAGGTATTATATGGACTTACTATATTCTGTATAAAGCATTCACCAGAAGTGAGCAATATAAAGAACACATTTCTTAAAGTAATGTTCAAGAAGGAAATAATAACTTAAAAGACAAGGAAAAAATTGTCTAGGAATTTTGCTACAAATTCTTGATCCACTTGTAATCTGTATTACAAACACAAACTCCATTTATATAATTATGCACAATGCTAATCCTACTATAAACGGATTGTGTTCTTAAGCAGCACTGTGTGTCAATATAACTGTGCTAAATGCACTTGATTTTACCTACAAATAGAGACAAAAACAACAGTCCTCTTCACTATTAACATCAGCTTTTGAAGTGCTGTACTTACACATTATCGGCATAATATGTCCAGACAAAACAAAGCAATTTTTCTTTCAGTTGACTAGTCTGAATTTCACTATCTGCAGATCACTTTGAAACCTTTTCTGATAAAAAGAAATGTTCCACAGCAACACTGTGTACCTTGCCTGAAACACCACGTGACTTAAGATTAAGGCAAGTCTACAGAGGGAGAGCAATTACATGTTGCTGGAACAGTCATTTAACTGATTTTTTTTTTAACTTCTCCCCTTCACTCTCCTCCCTTATCACAATGGAAATCAAATTTGCCCTACGAAATAAGAATAATAAAGAACATTTCCCCAATGTGGACAGTGCAAACTTTTCTCCCCCCCCCCCAAAACAGTGTTTCTTCAACACAAGTGGGCTGTGCCCACGAATGCTCATGATACCATCTACATATTTTGTTAGTCTTTAAAGTGCTACCAGACTATTTGTTGTTTTTTAAGTTTATTAAATGTTATGTGAATGATCTCATTAAAAGTCTACAGAATTTTTTTTTCAGAGCATTAATGTTTACAGAAATACAGTCATAAATAATCAAGGTATTTAGTGTAATTATAGACAGGAGAAAAATAATAATAACCAGGCAACTTGGAATATTTTGATGGAGAAAATTCACTGGCTTTTTCTTAGTAACACTAACCTGCCCAGGCACTCTCTGTGCAAATCTCTTCCTCCGCTGTACACCTTTTTCCTTTCCCTCTGTATGGCCTGTCTATTTAGAAGGCAAGTTCTTTGTGATACTCTCTTATATGCACAACAGGGCTCCAATCATTAGAGCATTTAGTCATAATTAATAAAAATAAATATTTCGATAAAATTATAGTCTCCTTTTACAAAATGAGAAAGATACATAATCCTCAGTTTCAAACTAAAATTCATTTGGTGTTAAATCATCATCTTAAACAGGATGAGTCAGACACAAAAGATCTTTACAATTAATGGCTTTAAATGCTTTTGATAGTTTGATTCTATCAATATGAATACTGTTCATAAAAAATGCTCCCTATTGATTTTAAAGCATATAATCTCTCAATTTATAAATGTATTTTTTCCTTGAGTTGGTCTTTGCTAAATTGGATTTGTTTTATAGTTTATAAGAGAAACAGCAGCCAAATCAGTGAATTTTTCAGAGTAAGGATAATCCCAGGATTAGGGCATTAGTCTAGGACTTTGGAAATACGGTTTAACTTCCTCTTTTACCACGGACTTCCTGTATGACTGTGGGCCAGTCACATGGTCATTCTGTGCCCCACTCCCCATCCATAAAATGGGAATAATTCTATTTCATATAGACCTTTAAAATGCTCTCATGACTGTATAAACCTACAAAAATTCATAAGAGAAGTGTACTCTACTATAAAGTCAGATACTGAAATCCTGCCATATTAATAATGCATTAGGAAAAATAAAAATAATCTGATTTAGATAAATGACTTCAATAGAACCATATTACACATGACATCTGATATACATTTATTGTTTGACAAGTAGGGCTGTCAATTAATGGCAATTAATACCTGATACTTGCATAAACTCTGGCCAAGTACAGAGGCAACAACTGTGGGGGGTCCTGACAGTGTCCCATCAGGTGTAGTAACGAAACCCATCTCTAGAGGGCAGGGAGTGGATAGGATAGGAGAGGAGAAAGCAAGTGACTCCCATCCTGTTTCCAATGAAGAGGTAGGAATCCTGCCCTCATTGTGCCTCACTGTCCCCAGCCGGGCTTTCACTCTGGGAACTGCTCCCTCCCCTCTCTCCCACTGCCCCCAGCTGACCCCTTGCTCTGGCACGGTTTAACAATGCAATAAAAACTGCAATTAATAAACTAAGTAAAATGCTGACCCTTGGCAGTGACATTGTGTCTGCTAGCAAAAAGGAAATTATCAGGTAAGAAATCTTCCATTCTGCAGCCCAGAGTCTACAGCAATTCTGAAATGTATGGGACGGACCAGTTGTGAAAAACAGTAAGAAGGGACAGAAAAGTGACAATGAATAGGAAAGATTCCTTTTCTTCCTTCCCTTTTTAAACTACTCAAGTAGAAAGTTTGTGTCTGAACCATTGCCTAAAGGACATCTCTGCAGAGACTTAAAGTGTACTTTATAGTAACTGAAAGAGATATTAGTGACCATGTGACTGTTCTCTAGATCTTTGCAGTGGAAGTGCATATCCTTTTGGCTCATGTGATTACCATGACTACTGTAAAAATCAGCTTGATTCTTTCTGGTGCACTGGAGGTCTTGTATACCTCAAATGATGAATCATCTGACCCACCTAGTATGTGATAGCTGTGATATGCCAAGTCTTTGGCACTTCAGCATGAAAATGCTGTAGCTAGGAAGCTGACAGTTATCTATCTAGATGGTAACTTGTTCTTCAAGGTGTAAGGGTTTGCGATGGGGTGGACCAAGCCCAAAAGCACTGCTGGAGGATTGAAGTCTTGGCACACCCTGCTCCAGGAAGACAGCAGTAGAGAAGACTTCCAAGCAACCTGAAATGGCAATGTGAGAGGCAGCCAATAAAGGCCTGGTAGGTCACTATAAAAAAAAGCAGCTGGGCCAGAGCCAGGCAGCTTGTCTTTGGAATCCAAATATGCATACTGGGTCTCTAGCTGACTGAGACAGTTGCAGCACCATGGACATTTTGTTGTGGAGAGTTTAGTGCAGACTGGACTGTAGACCATAGCGACTACTGAAGACCAGGACTTAGCTGACAGGAAGAGCTGCAGAACCCAGGATAATGTGCTGCTGGGACTTTTGAAACAAAGAGTGCAGGCACATGTACCTGGCCAGGTGAGTGTGACCTCGCTACAGGGTGGATATCTATTCCACCCTGGGAGACAGACCCATAGTCTCCTATAGACAACCACCTAACCTCAAGATGATTCTTACCAACAACCACAGGACATACCACACTAATACCAACCCTGGTACCTTCCCTTGCAACAAACCCCGTTGCCAGCTTTGTCCACATATTCATTCTGCTGATACCATTATTGGACCTAACCAAGTAAGTTATAAGATCAAGAACACATATTCCTGCGCATCCAGAAATATAATCTACGCTATCATGTGCCGAAAGTGTCCGTCTGCTATGTACATTGGACAAACATCTCAGACACTTCGCCAAAGGATTAATGCCCACAAAACAGATATCAGACAAGATCACAAAGAGAAAACAGTTTCTTGCCACTTTAACCAGAAAGGACACTCTCTAAATGACTTAGCCACCTGCATTCTGCTACAAAGACCTTTTACATCTGCACTTGAAAGGGAATCCTCTGAACTGTCATTCATGTTAAAATTCGACACTTACCACCAGGGACTTAACAAGTCTTTGAACTTTCTCACCCATTATCAAGAGTTAATGGTATTAGAGGTGATAATTGGGGAAGCTATGTTGGTAATGGGTAAGATAGTTCGAGTGTTCTGAAAGGTGTTCTGAAATGTCCTTTTCATATGTGTTCATTTTTTTTAAATTGTATCCTTTGGTATATATGGTTGTGACTATTTTCTTCCACTATTTGATCTGAGGAAGTGGGTCTGGCCCACGAAAGCTCATCATCTAAGAAACCATCTTGTTAGTCTTTAAAGTGCTACATTGTCCTGCTTTTTATTCCATTCAGGTATTTGCCTGCCCAATGCACTGAAGCTTCCTAGCAGTACCTGCAGGGATAGAACTAGCACACTCTGACCCTTAGCTCCCATCTTGGCTCCTGAGGGGCAGCACTGCCCTGGCCTCTCTCAATTCCTTAGCAACAACTGTTAAGAGTTAACGCTCTACTGTAAAAGGAACAGAGGGTCATTATGGAATACACATATTTGTCAAGTCTCAAAGAACAAGTGCAAGTAGGGATCCATCTTTTTTCTTCGAGTGGTTGCAAATGCATTTCTCTGAGCTGATTCATGAGCCATCTAAATATGAGTTGAGGCTGATTATTTACTTAAAAAACAACTGCAGAACTGCCTTCACAAAGTTTTCATCTGA